CTCTTAAGACCTAAAGTATGATGTGGGCCTTTCCAAAGCGACACTATTTCTTATGCTCTAAGTACTGAACCTGTTTCTAAACTTTCTAATCAATTTCTTGTAATTTATAATCTCCCGCGTAAACCTGGTGGTTTTCCCCCTCTTAGCCGTAAAATTGCTAAGGGGAAATCTGTAATGACCCTCATTCCCTTTACCTTAGTACTGCAGCGTCCAGCCACTTAAGGACCTCGTCTCCTGGTGTAGTAGCCAGCAAGGGTTTTTTTTCTTCTCCGGAGTGGACAAGGGAACCGCAGTTTCTCGGACTTTTCATCACTGTTCGACACACCAAAATGTTGCCCGCAACCAGATAATGCACCCAATGGAAAGGCGCAAAATAAAGTGGGCCAGGCAGAGCAGCAGAACTGACTCAGTTCATTTTTCTGAGGGTACAGGATATTTAGAGAAAATACATCCTAACTTCAAAGAGTCCTCCCCGGGGCAGCTAGGTGGCGCAGTGGATAGAGCACCGGCCCTGGATTCAGGAGGACCTGAGTTCAAATGTGACCTCAGACACATAACACTAGCTGTGTGACCCTGGGCAAGTCACTTAACCCCATTGCCTAGAAAAAAAAAGAATTATGGAAAGACAAGATCTTTGGGGGAAGCTAGGTGGCACAGTGGATAGAGCACCGGCTCTGAAGTCAGGAGGACCTGAGTTCAAAACCGGCCTCAGACCAAACACTTGACACTACCTGTGTGACCCTGGGCAAGTCACTTAACCCCAATTGCCTAAAAAAAATTTAAAAAAATAAAAAGAGTCCCCCCCCCATGAGATACTCCCCAAAATATCTGCTAAGGATGTGATAACATACATTTCCTCCTTATCAGAGTTCCTAGATAGGGTTGTAAATTCCAAGGCTTTTTCCTGGCGCCTATAATAGAGGAGTCAATATGTAAATCTAAGGTTCAAAGAGTGAGAAGGAATGTCTCAGGCACCTCCTAACAGGGAGAGATTTGGCAAGCCATGCTTCTTAATTATTGAGCCCTTTGGGTAAAAGCCTGGGCAAAGGTCAAACTCTGTCTTGGATCTTAAACCCATATCACACTCTTAAGATCAGCCCTCAACATGCAGGGATGGTTTAACTAAGGAGAACTACTAATATAATTGATTATGTCAATAATAAAAGCCACAAAAATCATATGATTATATCAGTAGAGGCAGAAAAGGTTTTTGATAAAGTATAATACTTATTTCTATTACCAGCACTTGAAAATATAGGTATAAATGGATTTTTCCTTAAATTGATGAGAAGCCTTTATCTAAAATCATCAGCAAGTATAATTTGTAATGGGGATAAGCTAAAAGCCCTCCTAGTAAGATCTGGTGTGAAACAAGGATGCCTACCTTCACCAATATTATTCAGTATTATTCTGGAAATTCTAGCAACAGCAATAAGAGAAGAAAAAGAAATAGAAGGAATCAGAATAGGCAATGAGATAATAAGACTGTCTCTTTTTGTAGACAATATGATGATATACTTGGAAAATCCTTAAGATACAACTAAAAAATTAGTTGAAACAATAATTTTAGCAAAGTAGCAAGATATAAAGTAAACCCATATAAATCATCAGCATTTACCTATTACCTATTTAAATGAGGTACCTCATTTAAAATAACTCTAAACAGTATAAAATACCTGCCCAAAAAACACAGGAATTATATGAACAAAATTACATTTAAAATTTTTTTCCATACAAATAAAATCATATTTAAATAATTAGAGAAATATTAATTGTTCATGGGTGGGCAGGGCCAATATAATAAAAATGACCATTTTATCTAAACTAATTTATATGTTCAGGCCATCCAATTAAATTACAAAAAAAAATTATTTTACTGAGTTAGAAAAAATAATAACAAAATTTATTTGGAAGAACAAAATGTCAAAAATATCAAAGGAACTAATGAAAAAAATGTAAAGAAAGGAGGTTTAGCAGTAGCAGATCTTAAACTATATTATAAGGCAGTAAATTATTAAAACTATCTGGTACTGGCTTAGAAATAGAAAGGTAGATGAGTGGTACAGAGTAAACAAACAATTACAGCAGCAAATTACTATAATAACCTTGTGTTTGACAAATGTAAAGACTTGAGTTTTGGGGACAAGAAATCATTATTTGGTAAAAAAAAAATGTCATGAAAGCTGGACAGCAGTTTGACAGAAACTGGGCATTGACTAATATCTTATACCATTTACCAAAATACGATCAAAATGGACACATGACTTAGATATAAAGGGAAATATTACAAGAAAATTTGAATAATATGGAACATATTATTATCAGACTTATGGACAGGCAATTTATGAATAAACAAAAAATAGAGAACATTAGGATGTGTAAAATGGATAATTTCAGTTATGTTAAATTAAAGAGGTTTTGTAGAAATAAAACCAATGTAGCCATGATCAGAAGGAAAGCCAAAAATGGGGGGGGGGAATTTATAGACAATTTTTCAGATAATGGTCTTGTGTCTCAGATGAAGAATTCTGTCCATCTATAAGAATATGAGTCATTCCCTAATTGATAAATGGTCAAAGGATATGAACAGGCAGTTTTCTGATGAAAAAAATCAAAATTTATAGTCACATAAAATGCTCTAAATAATTATTAGGAAAATGCAAATTAAAACAGCCTTGAGATATCATTTTACATTTACCAGATTGGCTAAAATGGTTGAAGGAGAAAGTGACAAATGTTGGAAGGAATGTGGAAAAATTGGAACACTTATTTGCTGTTGGTGGAACTGTGAACTAATCCAACCATTTTGTAGAGCAATTTGGGGTATGCCCAAAGAGTTATAAAACTGCCTATAACCTTTGACCCAGCAATACCACTATTAGATCTGTTTCCCAAGATGAGTAGGGAAAAAGGAAAAGAACCTATATATTGTAAAATATTTATAGCACCTCTCTTTGTGTGGCAAAGAACTGGAAATTGTAGGGATACCCATCAATTGGGGAATGGCTGAACAAGTTGCAGTATATAATCATGATGGAATACTACTGTGCTGTAAGAAATGCTGAGCTTGATGATTTTAGAAAAACATGGAAAGACCTGTACAAAATAATGAAGAGCAAAATGAGCAGAACCAAGAGAACAATAACAGCAATATTGTTTAAAAACAACTTTGGGCAACCAAATAATTTTGACTGTTATAAATACCCAAATAAACTACAAAGGACCTATGAAGAAAGATGCTGTCTGCATCCAGAGAAAAAACTGATAAATAGAATTATGTATAATATGGCTTTACATACACACATACATTTGTACCTAATGATAGCTATTTCTAGGGCAGGGGAGAGGGAGAGGGAAAGAAAGTTACATGATAATTTTGTTATATATTTAAAAGGAAAAGTAAGTTGTACATAATAGATTTGCAGTTTCGTGTGCAATCCTTTTTTTCCCCCTACTCTACTTTGTTATGGAAATGCTTATTTTACCTCTTAGGTTCAGAATTTAAAAAAAAAGACTCTGTGATTAATTGGGTATGAGAGGTAAGGAGAAAGGAGAAAAATAATTTCAAGGTTATGGTCTAGAGCAGGAGTTCTTTTTTTAAAAATTTTTTCCCCAATTACATGTAAAAACAATTTTTAACTTTTTTTTTTTAAATGTTGAGTTACAGATTCTCTCCCTCCCTCCTTCTCTCCCACTCCCTTCTTGCAAAGTCAGGCAATTTGATATAGGTTATACATGTGTAATCATGTAAAACATATTTCTATATTAGTCATTTTGTGGAAGAAACTCAAACCAAAAAAACCAACCCAACAACAAAAAACCATGAACAAAATAAAGGGGAAAATAGTGTGCTTCAATCTGCATTCAAACTCTATCAGTTCTTTCTCTGGAGGAGGATAACATGTTTCATCATGAGTCCTTTGGGATTGTCTTGGATCACTATCTTGCTGAGAGTAGCTAGGTCATTCACAGTCAATCATCATGCAATATTGCTGTTATTGTGTAGAGTGTTCTCTTGGCTCTGCTCACTTCACTTTGCATCAGTTCACATAAGTCTGTAGGTTTTTCTGAAATCTTCCTGCTCTTCATTTCTTATAGCACAATAGCATTCCATTACTATCATATACCACAGCCTATAAATAACCACCTGAAAAATGTTCAAAATCACTCTGGTCAAAAGAAATGCAACTTAATAAACATGAAATATCACTTCATTTCTGTCAAGACAAGAAAGATTGGAAAAGATGAGAAAACACATTGATGGAAGGGCTGTGGTAAAATTGGCACACTAATTTACTGTTGGTAGAGCTATGAATTTTGGGAAACAATTTGGAATTATACAATCAAGAAAAGTTACTGCATATCTTCTGACCTAGAGATTCCTCTACTATGACTGCATACCATTTTTGGCAGCAAGAAATGACCCACATGTACCAAAAAAAAATTTGTAATGCTAAAGCATGAAGTTATTTGTGATAGCAGAAAGCAAGAAACAGTATTTGTGACTTACAACTGGGAAATGGTTTAATAAATTACAGTACATGAATAGTGAAATATTACTATCGCACTGTAAGGAATTATAAATATTAAGATTTCAAGAGCTCAAAGAACAGCATACATAGTAGCTACAGTATAAATAATATCAACTTAGAAAGAATAATACTGGTCAAATACAAAGTCATTGTTGAGAAACAAATTATTGAAGTTAAAGGACACATTCCTCTTTCTGTTAACAATTTATAAACTAACTTTTTTACAACCTGTACTTGGGCACAATGAGAGAGAGGAAAGTGTGGTTTAAGTGTTCCTTGGGAAGTATCTCTTGTGTCAAAACAAAATGTATCAGTAAATTTGAAAGCTTTGTTTAAATACCTACTCTCTCTCTCTGTGTATGTATATATATATATACTCTCACCCTTTTAGCCAATGATTTTACACTTAGTATGTCTTCTGACAAGTTGAAAATGTGATTCTCTTGGGTTGTTTCACTCTCATTTCAGATGCTCATTCAACAGGAACCACTTCACTCTCTCTTTAGTCCTGTGTGCCAGGAAGTCTTCATTGCTATCACTGACCTGAGGTAACTCAGCAAAACATCTCCTTCATAGTGTGTTTTCATTTGTGGTCAAAGCCATAGCCAATTGACTTGAACTATGGCTAGGTGCAATTTATGAAAGAAAGAGTAAGAAATGTCCATTTATTTGGTAGTAGGTCTTTGATCTCGTTTAAGGTATCCCTGTAACCAATTCAAAGGAATTTAGGATTTTAAAGGACATTCAGATATTATGGAGCTCCAAAGCCACTTGGGAACATAGATCCTTTCATTATGTCCCCAGCCAGTGTGCTGACTTGTTTACTACCAGTGCTGGGTATATCCAACAAACACGTATGACAATTGGACACTAAGAAAATGGATAAAATGAAGCTGAGTACCACTCCACTCTTTTTTCAGAAAGGTAGAGTTGGAAACCTTTCAGCCTTTAAATAGAGGTTCAAAAGGACTAGGATAAACCATTGCACTTCTATATTTCTTCCCTCAGAGTAATGAACAAATTATTCCACTTTTTTTTATCATATTTATCACTTATTATATTTAAATTGTACATTTTCTCACCTTTCCTACTCCTCTATCTTATCAATTCTGGCATTTCTCTCTTCCTAGTTACCAGGATGTCAATTTGCTGCATGGGTCTGAAGATAGATCTGACTTGTTCAATGTTCTTATTAAAAGCATAATAACCCTGCCCTCCATAAAGACTTTAAATATACTTCAAACAGTTATGCCAAGTGGACAATACAACACAGAGGTAATTATCTGTTTTGTCTTAATAACCTATAAAACTCTTCTGAATTTCAATGGTAACATTTCCGGTATTTTATCTTTTAGAAAGAACCAAATGTCATTTAGAGCCAAATTTGTTAAATAAAATGACTGATTAAGCTGAAGAATATGTATCTTGGTTAAAAGTGAAGTGTGATTATAAATTAATGATGAAATAACATTTGCATACTGGATATTTGAAAGCTGGAAACCTCTTGAGTCTGGTGTAATACTTACCTTGTGACTTTTCAGTCTCTCTACAGGCAGACATTTCAGGCATTCTGTGAAATGCTTCAGTGTATGGTGATGCAAGATCCACATTCAGAAAATCTTGGTCGAATTTTGGAGGTAAAAAGGATTTTGGGGGAGTGGTAGAAAATTGTTCTTTAGTGGAAGATGAAAAATGAAAGAAGAAGAATCTTATTATTTCTCTCTAGGATTATTGGGACTTTATCAGGAGTAAAATAGCAAAGTTGCCTTTCTGAGTAAACAGAAAAGCTCCAGAAATGTGATTTAGAGTACTAAAAGCTTTCCTTGTCCAAAACTTTTCTTATACCTACTTGATGCAGGCCTGAAATTCCATTTTTAGAGATTTAGTTAGGTTAAGGCTTTTGCCTCTAGTTCCCTCTTTTAAAATGGAAATACACCTGAGTGTATTATTTCACACATAAACTGTAGGCATCTAACTGGTTGCTGTCTAGTTGAGAGCAAGACACTGGCAATCCAGGACCTTTAGAAATGGGCCAAACTAGCTTATTTTTGTATTCTTCTATATACATACCCTACCATACCATACATGCTGCAACCAAATTAGATGACTTAATCTTCCCCTTCTCCCCACCTGGAATCTGCAGCAACAATGCCCTCATCACCACCACCCTGCCCATATTTCTTGAAATTAAAACCACCCTTTAATACCTATATCAAATGCTACTTTTTCTAGAAATGAACCCTTAGGACTCCAGACAGAAATGAACACTCTGTACCATCTATATAAAAATAATCTTTATTATGGGTATTTATGTCAATACCTTATCTCTACTATAAACTTATGGAGGTTAGAAACCAGAGTTTATTCAAATTTGCATCCTCTGCAACACTTAACACACAGGATATGGCTGAAAAAAAAATCGATCAATTGCCTGAATGAATGAAAGATAACTTTGGAGTATGAGGGAACTCCTCAAGGAGAACATACCTGATTGGGTACCCCTGGACAGCCCGTGTGCAGCAGGAGGTAGATGGTTAACTGGGAGGTAGGGACATAGAAGGGGGAGGTGAGAGAATAGCCAGCAAAGACAAAACTCACTTTTCATCCCCAAATGAGTTCCCTTTTCATAACCCTGACAGCCAGAAGTATGTAGAAAAAAAAAATCCCAGGGGCAGTTAGGTGACGCAGTGGGTAGAATACCAGCCCTGAAGTCAGGAGGACCTGAGTTCAAATCTGGCCTCATACCAAACACTTGACACTTACTAGCTGTGTGATCCTGGGCAAGTCACTTAACCCCAATTGCCTAAAAAAAAAATCCCCTGTTCAAAGAGAATCTTTAGCCCTATTGAAGATAGAGGGGAAAAGGCCCATGCTTCTTGCTTGGAAAAGGCCCATGCTTCTTGCTTGGGGCAGCAGGGCTGTGGAGTCAGGCTGGTGGTATGAAATATGTGGAAGCAGCTGGGCTCCTCTCATGTCCCTCAAGAAACAATCAAGAGAAAGACCAAGAAAAAGGCAAATGTCTTTCAAAAATCCACCCACAAAAATCTATCCAAATGGAAAATGAATGAAGAAAAGTCTGACAATAGGAATACGACACAGCAACTTATTGTGAGCTCAAGTCCAGATATAATGCAGAGAGAAAAAGAAAAAAAGCAAAATTGCCAGATAGACAACCTCAGACAGATTAATAACACATTCAAAGACATTGAGCCAGAATTCACCCTGGTTAAAAAAAATCCACAAGACCAAATAGAACACAAAGAGGTACACTTTGATTTTGGTGCTACCTCCCTTTCATAGAGTCTCAGCATCACAATTTAGAGTTGGGAAGGATGTCAGTTGCTGTCTTGTCTATCCCATGCCCCAAAGGAATCCCCACAGTATCTGACAAGTGGTTATCTGACTTCTTGAAGACCGCTAATGAGTGGGAACCCCCTTGCCATTCTACTTTTGGATAGCTCTCGTTGACAGGATTTTCCTTTCCTGACCTCAATGCTAAATTTGCTTCTTTGTGACTTCCACCTATTGCTCCTGCTTCTGCCCTGGGACCAGATGAAGCAACCTAAATCCCTCTTCCACATGACAGCTCTTCAAATGCTTGAAAACACATATCATACTCCCCCTACCAAAAACCTAAGGTTTCTGTTCTCTAGGCCGTGGCCTATTTACAATTCTCAATTTCTTCAACTGTTCCTGAGAGGACATGGACTCAAGGCTTTTTACCATCCTGGTTGCCCTCCTTTGGAGCAACTTATTAGTGTGCTTCTGGTGTCCACATACTCTGGATGTGGGCTGACCAAGGCTGAAGTCAGAGGGACTAGCACATCCTTATTACTGGAAACTATGCCTCTCTTAATGAAATCCAAGATCACATTAGATTTTTAGTTGCTATATCACTGCTGAGTTACCTTGAGCTTATGGTCTACTAAAACCCCTAGATCTTCTCCACCCTTCCCAGGAAAACTGCTATCAAACTATGCCTTTTTCACTCTGTACTTGTGAAGATGATTTTTTGAACCCAAGTGTAAAACTTTATATTTATCTTAGTTTTATTTTTTAATTTAATTTAATCTTACTAGATTCAGCCCAATGCTCTATCTAGCCTAAGATCTTTTTTGAATCCTGATTGCCATCTAGTATCTCAGCTATCCTTCCCAGCTTTGTGTCATTTACATTTGACAAATATGCCATTTATGACTTTTAAGCTACCGATAAAAATCTTAAGCACAAAGCTAGACATAGATGCCTAGCGTACTCTACTGTAGGCCTCCAGCCAAGCTAACATTGAACAATAAATGATTATTCTTTGATTTTACTCATTCAGCTCATTCTGAATCCTTCTAATTATATTATCATATAGTCTACATCTCTCTATCTTCTCCATAAGAATAAAATTCTTTATCAAATGCTTTGCTGAAATCTGTATATACTTCATTCCCTTGATCTCCTCGTTTAGTTAACCTTTCAAAAAATGAAAAAAAGCTAGTCTCTCCTCTCCCATCTCCCTACCTTTGTACTGGTTATATTTTGTACCTGGAATTCATTCCCTCATCACCTCATAGAATATTTCCTTTAAGACACAGCTCAAGCATCACTTTCCTGATCCCCCCTAACATACACAACTTCTAATGCTCTCTCTCCCTCCCTATATTCTATTTAACTACTGTGTATTTGCTTTCTATTCTCTCTATGTTTAATTAGTACAGAGGTTTATATGCATATATTATTTTCCCCAATAGAAGAGTTCTTTGGGAATAGGGATTGTTTCTGTTCTTTGTCTTTGTATCCTCAGCACCTAGCATAGCACCTGGCCTATATTAGGTGCATAATAAATGCTTGTTGATTGACTTGTTCCTAATAAGCCAAGATGCATCTTTGTAAATGAACATTTCTTATTGATCAGTTCTAGAATTTTTCACAGAATTGGAGAAATTCCTTTGAAAGAAGTCAAGTGGTGAAGTTCACTGGCCAATAGTTGATAGATTATGTTCTCTTCCCTCTTTGAAAATTCTGATATTTGCCCTAATCTAGTCTTCTAACACCCACCCCTTCTATTCTTCCAGTCTTTCAAATATCATTGACAATAACTCAGCATTATTACATCTACCAGTTTTTTCAATATCTGAAGGTGTAGTTCATCTGGATTGGGTGACTTAAGCTCATCAAGGACAACTAGATGCTCTTTTAAAAAAACTGTTTAAAATTATGTATAAAAATTATTATATATTACATATATCATTATATATTATATATAATTTTATATATATAAGTAATATATTATGAATGTGGCAGATGTTAGCAAATATGGATATTTCTGTATACAAAGAAGAATGGAAAAAGCTACTACTTATAAAACTGTGAATCTCTACTACATACAGCTTTTTTTAAAAGTATATTTCAAATTTAACATGTTAGTTCCAACACAGATCTTCTTGTCTCTGTCCCCTTCTGAACTTTCTTTTACTCTCTTCTGTGTATTTTTAAAATAATTCTAATTCAGTGACATTTTTCTTCCTTTTTTGGTGTCATTTATCACTACCCTCTCCACCCTACCCTCCATATCTCCTCTACCCCTCAAAATAAAAGCCCTTATAACAAATGAACATAAAATAAAGCACAACTGATCTGCATGTTGAATGTGACTTTAGATGTGTCTTATTCAATTAGGCACTCCCTGAGCATCAGTCTTATCCTTTGATCTTCCTCTTTCCCCTTATATCACTTAAAAACCAACTCCTTTTTTTGTCCTTAGCAAGTCTCAGTTCATTCTGAATTTTAACACTCCTGACACTATTTATAGAGGACTGTGCAATGCTCTTTTGTTCATCCTCTGAAACCTGCCCTTGCTTCCATCATCTATACATTTCTCTTTTAAATCTAAATTGGTTGGTGGATTCCCTATTTATTCACATTCGTTTCTTTAGACAATCCCTAATTTCCCTCCTCTTTGAAATTACTTCCCTTTGTGGCTTCAGAATTTCATTTTGAAGGGGCATCTAGGTGGCACAGTGGATAGAGCACCAGCCCTGAAGTCAGGAGGACCTGAGTTCAAATCTGGCCTCAGACCAAACATTTGACACTTACTAGCTGTGTGACCCTGGGCAAGTCACTTAACCCCAATTGCCTAAAAAAGCAACCCCCTTCCCCCACAAAAAAGAATTTCATTTTGAGAGTTTTCCATCCCTACTGGGCTAACTTCCCATGCAGAGTTTTAATTTAAGGAATCCTACCTAACCTTCTTCTGAACCATTGAAATTTGCTTTCTGAAATCTAGATTACATATCAGATTGTGCCCAGTCCTTCTCTGTTATAAACTCTAGGAAGGAGCTGTCATTTCACAATGTTCTCACCATTGATATGCTAGCAGTTAGTTCATCCATATTAGTAAGAATCAGATCCAGGATAGAATTTCTCCTAGTTTGTTCCTCAACTTTTAGAAGGATGAAATTATTATTAAGGGAATGTAGCAAGTTATTAGTTACTTTGCTAGAGAATACAAATCTAGTAGATGTCTTAAATGATTAAAGGCTCTTGTCACTACTATACAATACCTCTATTGTGAACTGCTCATCTTTTCCTCTTTCTGCCCATGTAGTCTTAATATATTTAGTATACTCTGTTGACAAAGTCACTGCTT